GATTGAGCTAAAAATTTAGACTTAGTAGTTTCAGACATTGTTCTTTCGAATGCACACAAAAAATCAAAAATTTATATTTTGACGAGTGCTTCAAATCTTCGATGGTGTCATGGACCTTCTCTTAATATTCTTTATGTCAAATTTATTTTTGATTACATATTATATCTATATGATATAAGGAAAAAAAGAATGTGATTTACATAAGTCTACTAAGATTAACGAATTGAAAATTATTTTATTATCATTTCGAGAAATATATTCGTAAGACAACTATTTAATGTTTAGGACTTTTATAATTTCACAATATTTCAGTACACATTTATAAGCAAACGAAAATTTTTCATGGAGAAGATGACTGGATATCCATTCGCAATGTCTCAAAGAAGTGTTTCAATATTTAATACTATAGGCAATTAGTGATTGATTTTCCTACTTAGATCTATTGTATATTCCATCGCTAAGAAGGATTATTCAATAAATCTGAACCAAATACAAAAAAAAAAAGATGAATGTTGCCAATATGGGTCACAAGTTTGCAAAACTCATTGTTTTTATCAATCAAAGTGAATTAGGATTGTGGTTCTTTCATTAAGTCCATATAACAAAGAAAACATAAAACTATGTAGTTGTCAATATAGACTTGTTTTTTTCGTTTTATCAATCTCATTTATATACATTTCGATAGGCAGGAATAGTTTTTGAACAACTCAAGAATGAAAGCAGCTAATAATTTTCGATTTTCACTATTTCAAGTGATTGATTAAGTGAGCATTTATACGAAGTTTTGAACTAACGCACTTTAAGAAAGTTTTTTTCATTAGTTTTTGGATTTCAATAAAATTATTCTTTACTAATCTATGTAATATCAATTCATTAAAACACGTCATTTAAAATTTATAAGGGCCTTCCTAGTATCTCTAGTTTCTTCTGATATACATTTTATATCCTGAAAGTAATTCTTCAGAGAAGCAATTGATCATTCTGAGTTAAATGGTGATGTTCATTTTCGATTTTCAAGTGATCTGAATTCATTATATAGAAGATTTGTGAAATTTGAAATTTTTCCAATAAATCATCTAAACAGTCCAAAACCAAAAATCTTTATTTATAAAATTCGAATCACTTTGAAATCAAAACTGAAAATCATTAGCGAACTCAAAATCATCAAATATCCTTTTGAAAAATTATTTTCACTATTGAAGCGTCAATTGATCGATATCAAGACTTTCAGGAAGAAGCCTTTCCAAAGTGATATTCAAAAACTTGTACAGATGCTCACCTCATCAATCAATGAAGAATTTAATTAAATTCTGAGATATCTTTATTTTTTCGCATGATGAAGACCAGAGATCACTAGCTGGTTATTCTTCTCAAATTATTCAAAAAATAAAAATGAATGAGACTATATGAAAAGACTAGTTTCTGATCTCGTTCTCAAGAATTCATACAGATTCAATACAATTAATTTAAAAAATTGTTTTTTTTTTGTTCATATGATATTAAACTATTTGTTATTTCACAGTTGTTGCTGCCGATGGTTTTACATATGAACGAGAAGCTATTACTAAATGGTTTGAAACTTCAAATCGTAGTCCAATGACAAATGAAATACTTGATAATCTTGAATTAAAACCAAATTATGCGATTAAATCAATTCTACAGTCGCTTCAAGGTGCTAATACAATGTCTACAAAATCTGACAAAAAATGAAATACGAATATTTTTAATAAACATAATTATCTACTATGTAGTTTTTCGTTGAACTATGTATAATCTTACAATTACATATGATATCCCATGTAATGATAATCTGTTCGGTCAATTTTATTAACAAAAAAAAAAAAAGAAATAAACAAATCCGTTGGTTTTATTTCTTCTTCTTTTTCATATTTGTAATAAATAATTCTTGTAAATGAAGTAATATCTAATTTCTCTTTTTTTTTAATTTATCTTCAGATTTATATTTGAATAAATTATGAGTGATACAGAATTTTTACATAAAGCAATTGATAATGCAAAAAATTTTGAAAATTTTTCCGATGTACTTATGGCAGTTAGTCTTCATCCAGAATGGTTAACTATGATACCGGAAGATCGACGATGGGCAATTTTACATCAAATTATACTCTCTGGTAATGTTAATAATTTAGATCAATTACTTGCTTTACAAAAATCTAATAAAAAATTTCGTTTATTAACTAATACACGTGATAATCAAACAATATTAAATATTGCTTCATTACGTAATGATATACCAGATATGATAAAACGTCTTCAACAACTTATTAAACTTGATGAAATGCTTAATTATGCTAAAGATTGTGAATGGGATAAATGTTATGATATAGCTAAAGAAAATCCAAATTTTATTAATGAAAAACCACCATATCGTCGTTATTATTTAATTCATCATATGGCATGTGCAAATGCTATTGAACAATTTGAACGTTTTAAACAAATAAAAAATTGTATATTCAATTTAAATTTACGAGCTGATAGAAAAAAAATTAATGAAATTGCTCGAGAAGAACATCAATCAAAATTTGCTGAATATATTGAAAAACATTATCCAAGTTTATTAGATAAAGATGATTCTATTTATGATGAATTATATACACCAACTGAAGAAGCTAAAAAACGTACACATATGATCAATACTATGATGGATCAACGATGTATAGTTAAAGATTTAGATAAAGATCTTATGGGTGAACCAATAAAACTTAAAAGTCGAACTGAAGTAATGTTACATATTAATGAAATACGAACTCAACAAGAAAATGAATTAAAAGAAAAAAGTAAACAAGCTTCAAAAGTTGAAGAAGATGGACGTACAGAAATGATGATTGATACTCTTACATGTCCTCTTACACTTGCTATATTTGTAGATCCAGGTAAAGCTCATGAAAAAAAAACAAAATAATTTTCATTTATTTATTTTTTATTAAACAGAATGAATGAGCATTTAGTTTCTTATGATATTGAACGTATACAATGAAACACTAATAAGAGAAAAGTTCCTAAATGTGAGTTAGCAATTAGACTGATATTTTGCTCATAATTAAGACAAAAGATCTGCCTATAAGCAAACTTTAAGATTGAAATTTCACAAATTTCTTATCAAGAATAAAACATTAAATAAAATTGTAATAACTTAGGAAGCATAGCGTATTATGATGAACTCTTAGAGGTTAAAAAGTTACTTTGGTTTAAATAAAGGTAGTTTAATCTTTACAAAAAGAAATTCGAATATCTCTAAACGAAAAATTTAATTGTTTTTAATAACGAATAATTGATATGACGCACTAGGAAGAAAACTTGATATGAAGGAAAAATATCTGATTGTCATCGAAAGGAGAAAATACGTGAAAGCAAAGAGAGGAAGAAAAAAAGATACCTATATATGTGAGTAGAACAGAAAAAAGAAAATATTAGGTACAACTGGGTCACACTATGATAATTCTAAAACGGAAAATTTTGTTTTTTTTTTTGAATATTTTAGAAGGAAAGTTTTTCTTGCATACTATAGAGAAGTTTCAGCAGATTCTACACTCCTGATTTCATTGGGACTTATTTATTGACAAGTAGAGTTTGTCACGTTTAAAATTTTCGGACTTGAGTCATCGCTCTCAAGGTACGAAATATTTTTTCTCGTTTTTGTTTTTTTCTTCAGTGACTAGCACACTTTATACATTCTTCATATTTGGGATCAACCTAATGGGTTCCGTTGGCAAGTCAGATTTAAGAATATTATCTCGTCAAAAAAATAAAGACGTTATCTTCAAATAAAAAAAAAAATCTTAGTTTAGTCAATTTAAAATCAAATAGAACTAAAATATGTCGAGAAGAACATGTACAGTAATAGGGGTCGACAAGCTCAGCTCATTTCCGCTCAGAGGAACTGTTCGAACAGCTCTTTTGAGCTGAGTTGAACCGGTTCGTTTGAGTTGTGTTCCCAAAAACAGAACAATTTTGTTCTTTTATGGGAATTATTTCCCGAAAACGGAACAAAAGTGTTCTGTTTTGGGAATACAGCTCCAACGACCTGGATCACCAGTTCAGCTCAAAAGAGCTGTTTGAACAGTTCCTCTGAGCGGAACCTAGTTGACCTTGTCGACCCCTATACAGTAATATTCATCATGAGAAAAATCTGAAAAAATTCATATGAAATAAATAACTCTTAAATATTAAATTTTCTAGAATAAAATAATCATTTATTATTTATTTATTAATTAGTGGTTGCTGCTGATGGATTTACATATGAACGTTCAGCAATAACAACTTGGCTTAAAAATAATGATCGTTCACCAATGACAAATCAAAAACTTCCTAATAAAGATTTGAGTCCAAATACAGTAGTTAAACAAATTATTAATGCTCTTCATCTTACAGCTTGAGTTTTTGATTATTTCTACACATTTTTTTGTTTTCTTCGTTTAAAATGTATAGAAAGAATGAAGAATTGATTTTATCTCAATTTTATTAAATATTAATGATATAAATTTTTTTGGTTTTTATATATTCATACTTTTTCTATTAAACTAAAAACAAAAAAAAACATATTCTTTTCGATTTCTTTTATTTTTTTGTTTTCTAGATAATGGCAAAATCTCTTTCAACTAATCCAGAGCCATTATCATTTGATGTTATTCATGATATTGTAAAACGTAATGATAATACAAAATATGATCTTGTTTATCGTACATTATTAACTAAATCAGAATATTTAACACTTATACCAGATAATGATAATTATTCAATTCTTCATTATCTTGTTATGTATGGTTTATTAGATTTATTTAATAAAGTTATAGCTATACCAAATATACGTATTATTCTTTTAACAAAAACTGCAACAAAACCAGCAAAAGATATTCTTCAAATATCACGTGAAAATCAAACAAAATCAAGTACACATAAAAAATTATATGAATTAATAGAAAATCTTGATATAATGGATAAATTTGTTGAATATGCAAAAAATAATCAAATAAATGAATGTAAAAGAATGCTTCAACAAAATGAAGATTTAGTTAATCTAAAACCACCATATAGAAAATATTATTTAATTCATCATTTAGCTTATGCTAATAATAAAGATGCATTTGATCAACTTCTTAGTATATGTAATTTTGACATGAAATTATTAACAAATGATAATAAAACAGCATCAGAAGTTGCTCTTGAACAAAAACATACAAGATTTGCTACTTATTTAGAATCTCTATCATCAGATATGCGTACTATACGTGAAAAACATGATAGAGAAAAAGAAAAACGTAATCAAGAAAAAATGAAACATGATGAACAAATTGAAAAACAAATTCTAACAACATCTGGTAGTAATATGTTAGATTGTTTTACATGTCCATTAACAAAAGAATTATTTCAAGATCCAGTTGTTTTATCTGATGGTTTTACATATGAAAGATCAGCAATACAAAAATGGCTTGATTTAGGTAATCGACGTTCACCAATGACAAATATTGAATTAACTAATATTACACTTGAGAAATTATTCAAAAATGAACGTAGAATAAATTTATAAGAGAAAATTTTTAAATAAAAATTTCAAATAAAAAATAGACATGAAGTTTTTTGAACAAATTTTGTACCTAATATGGTGATCAAACAAGCATTAAATGAACTTATTGAAAAACAAAAAAAATAATATAAATTATAATAGCATTTTTTTATTTATTCATGATTCAAAATATTAATTTTGTTTTTCTTTTCTAATATTTTTTTTTTTTATTTTTCAGATGGCAAATGCTGAACTAACATATGAACAAATCTATTTAAAAGTAAAAAATGGATTTACTGGTGATTCATCAATATGGGATCGAACATATGAATATATACGTCTTCATCCAAAAGATTTATTTTTTATAACACCACATCGTATTTGGTCAATTGGACATCAAATAATTTATCATGGGAATTTAAAATTATTTCAACGTTTATTAGAATTATACAATGACAAAGATAATCTAATAGATATACATTCAACAACAAAAGATAAACCACATGGAAAAACTATTCTTGATATAGCTAATGAACGAAAAGAATATTATAAAGATCAATATGATTATATTAAACGTTTATATGATCAAGATAAATTTATTGAAGCATGTAGAAAAGAAGATTGGCCAACTATTGATGCTATATTAGAAAAAGATCCAACATTAAAAAATGAAAAACCACCATATTGTTCAAATTATTTTATACATATATTAGTTTATTATGGTGATATTAGAAAATTTGATGAATATAATATACAAAATCAACCATTTCGACTTGATTTACAAAATGTTGATGGTAAAACAGGTCTCGATTTAGCAAAAGAAACAAAAAATCAAGATTTTATAACTGAAATAGAACGATTATTAAAACCTGTACGTGAACGAGGATCTAAGAAAGAATATCATGTTCGTGAAGAAGAATTACGAGAGTATTCTCCTCATACTCGTACAGAGAATAATAATCAATCTACTGTACCATCAAGAACAACAACACAATTAGTACAACCACCAGCACTACCATTAGTACAACCATCACCGTTGTTAACACAACCACCAGTACGACAATCAGAACCAAGACCAGTACAACCACCGCCACAGTCAACACAACTACCAGCACGACAATCAGAATCAACACTAGTACAACCAACACCAACGGGAGTATCACCTCAAGTATTGAAAAGTTTAACATGTAAATTAACAAAAAAAATATTTGTTGATCCAGTTATAGCAAGCGACGGAAAAACATATGAACGCAGTGCCATTCGACAGTATCTTACTGATAATCGTTTTTCACCACAAACAGGTGAACCAATGAACGACGAATTTACTGATGATATAGCAACTACAGATCTCATACGTACACTTCGAAAACAAAATAAACTTCCATAATTTTTCTTTTTTTTTATTTTACTTATTAATATATTTATTGTTATAGAATCGAGAAAAATGTATTATATTTTTTTCTAGATTTAAAAATAAAAAAAAAGTAAAAATTTCCTCATGTCATCATCTGATATATCACTAACACTTGAGACAGTTCATCAATGGGCACGTTCTGGTCATGAATCAGATAAAGTTTATCGGTTTTTATTTCTTCATCCTGAAGATTTATTTACAATTCCAAAAGGACGTAAATGGTCAATTGGACATCAAATAGTTTATAATGGAGATGTTAATCTTTTACAACGTATTCTTGCACTTTTTTCTGATGATCAAATTAATATTCATACATTATCAAACGATCAAAAAACTCTTCTTGATGTTGCTAAAGAACGACGTGACCGTTATAATGACATGTATATCTATGTTGAACATTTATTTCTTCAAGATGATTTAATTCAAGCAGCTAAAAATAGTAATTGGGATTTAGTTAAACATATTCTTAGAAGAAATCCTGAATTATCAAATGAAAAACCTCCTTATTCAACAAATTTTCTTTTACATTATGTTATACAAAATGGTAATAAATCTATATTAGAAGATTTACTTAAAAATTATCAATTTCAAATGAATATTGTTAGTGCACAAAATGAAACATTAATAGATATGGCTAAAAGACTTGAAAAAACTGATATGTATTCAATACTTGAGCCCATAAGACGTGAAGAATTACGTTTAACTCCAACAAACATTCGATCAACATCATCATTATCAGCTAATCAACATAAATTATATAAAACTCCGCTAACATCTACTTTTAGCCTTCCTACACTTCCATTACGTAGTTCTAATTCTAAATTACCATATCCAATAGAAGATCCATTTCCTAGTGCAATGTTTTCGAATGTTTTACTTAATCTTAATGCAAGTGGTAATTTTACAGTTACAACATTAAATAAATTTAGTACAGTTCATATTCAACCATCAATAGTTGAAGAAAAACAACAACAACAACAAGAAAAAATAAATATAAAAGATACACAAGATAAACATATTGGTTTGATGAAAACTATATCGGATCCAAATGTCGAACAAACAGTTGTATCACCAACATCAAATGCACAATTAAAGAAAAATTTAACATGTTCTTTAACACAAGAAATTTTTACTGATCCTGTTATTGCTAGTGATGGTCAAACATATGAACGAGAAGCTATTACAGAATGGGTTAATTTATATCATTGTTCACCAATGACAGGTGCACCAATGACTACAATATTTAAAGAAAATACTGAACTTAAACAAATTATTCAATCAATGAGACAACAGAATTAAATTTATATTTGTGTTTATTTTTTCGTTTTTTATATGTTATTGTGATATTTATTTGATACTACGAATGAACCTGCTATGATTTTTCTCTGGCTTATTTTCATTGTTTTTTTATTTTATATATATATATAAAATATTTATAATAAATTGAATTTTAATTAAATTATTTTCTAATTTAATTTTTAGATTTTTAACGTCAGATTAAATAAAATGGAAACACTCAAATATTATAACAGATTATGGGAAGAAACTAAAATAAATTATAGTGGTACGTTGATTTATTTTATGATAAAATTTGAATACACAGAGAAAATTAGAAAATAACTTTTAAAAAACAAAAATGATTTTCATTAATAAAATTTTATATCAAAAAATAAAATGTTACAAGTTCAAAAAAACAAAAAGAACATATTTTTGAAAACTAAATAATACATTTTATAGACGATTCTTCAGGCTACAAATCTTTATGCAAAGTTTTTTTTTTTTTCGGAACATATTTAGATATTTCAAAAAAAAACAAGTGGGTAAGTATACAAATATAATAGGTGACCATAAATAATAAAACAGTTTGTTTCTGTAAACATTTAACAATTCGTGCACGCTCATATTAATCAATTTCGATACTAAATGTAAAGTATTAAACATCAATAAATAGAGAATTTTATGTTTTTTATACTCTTAATGATGTCGTTCAAATGCAAAAGATTTGAAATTAACATCTATTGATACTTTATTTTGAATATGCTTTCAAAATTCATATTTTTAAAAGTTATTAACCGACAGTTTGATCTGGTGCAAAAAAAAACAACAAATAATCTTTAGAAAGATTCAAAGTCAAAACTTGTTTGTATTAATTTGACTCATCTTATCTATCTATTAGTAGTTCGATTAAATAAATGCTTGCTAAATTATTAAGTAGATTTTTCCTCTCCTATTGTATTCTTCATGGGATCCGGAAAGATGCGCACGGATGCCTTGAGCACGAAATATCAGATTATTAGTTGTGCATGAACAATAAGGGTGTGTGGGTGTGAGTGCAGTGGCGTACGCAGGGGGAGGCCGAGGGGGCCCGGGCCTCCCTTGAGACGAAAAAGTCCTGGAGGGGGTACAGGGAAAAATATTTTCGCGTGATAAAACTTTTTTTGCGCCATGGCGGCCCCCTCCTTGAAAAATTTCTGCGTACGCCACTGTGTGAGTGTGGGAGTGGATGTGGGTGTGTCTGATATCCTCTACTCATCCAAAGCCACACACCCACACCCACACCCAGTAGTGATTATTATCTCTTTTTCTTATACTGTACTTCTAATTATTAATATTACAATTAATTACTTGAAAAATAAATTATTTCTGCTAATTTGTTCAATTGACTTTTATTGATATGAAAACAAGAAATCAATATTACGTGCGCAACTTTCCTAGAGCCATTCTTTATATGTGCGATAGACCTCATGAAAATTTTCAACGATTACTAACATTCTTATTAATCCTATACTTTCATATCTGTAGTCTATGATTCTATAATCATCTTAAAATCTTTTTTTTTTTATGAAAGAAAATACTTTAAACTATTTTTTTTTTTCATTATATCATAGATCCACGTACGTCCGATTTATTCATGATGGATTCTCCAATTCCATCGGCTTTGATTTGTTTGGGATATTTAATAGTTGTTTGGATGGGACCAACATTAATGGCAAATCGTCCAGCATATAACATTCGTCAACTATTATTAATTTATAATGTTGCTATGGTTGCTCTATCTGGTTATCTATTCTATGAAGTAAATTCAATAATAAAAAAAAAACATTTCTTTTTTTATTACAAAAAAATTTCTATTTTTAGTTTCTTGCTAGTGGTTGGTTAAATGGTTATTCATTAGGTTGTCAACCTGTTGATTATTCTCGATCATCTACTGCTATGAGAGTAAGAAAAACAAAAAAGCAAAAATTTTCTTTTCGTTTTTTTTTTATATTTTTTTGTTTTTAAATAGATGGTTCGTGTTTGTCATTTATTTTTTTTATCAAAATTTATTGAATTATTTGATACAATATTTTTTATAATGAAAAAAAATTTTCATCAAGTTAGTATTTTACATGTTTTACATCATGGTATAATGCCAATAAGTTGGTGGTTTGGTGTTCGTTTTGTTCCTGGTGGTTTTGGAACATTTCATGCATGTATTAATTCATTTATACATTTTCTTATGTATTTATATTATGGACTTGCTGCACTTAGTTTATCATTTCGAAAATATATATTTTTAAAAAAATCTATGACATCAATGCAAATGGTTTGTAAATAAATATATATTAAATTTTTGTATTTTTACTTTTTTTTAAGATTCAATTTATGCTCGTTATGATTCATACATCACAATTATTTTTTATACAATGTGATTATCCAATTTTATTTGCATATTGGATATTTTCATATGCTATTATGTTTTTATTATTTTTTGCAAATTTTTATGTACAAGCATATATTAAAAAATCATTATCAGCAAAATTAAAGTCACAACAAATCAAATTAAAAATAAATGGTTATGATAAACATGAATGAAATTTTCTAGATACATTTATTTTTGTTTTCTTCTTTTTTTTTATTTCCAAAATGAACAAAACAAACAAACTAGTCTGATCTATCCATAATAATCTTATCCAATTATTATAACCTGAAATACTTTTCTTTTTTTTTCCCCATATAAAATAAAAACAAAAATAACAATACATAAATCAAGTCTAAAGTTTTTGTTTCTTTTTCTTATTGATTAGAATAATAATATGGATGATAATAATAATCATTAGAATGTGATGGTAAACAAGATAAATTTGTAGAATATGATGGTAATGTTTGAGAATTTATTGGTTGTTGTAATAATTGTATATGTTGTTCAAGTTCATCTGAAATATGAATTTTTTCAGGTTCATTTAATAAATTTGAATTTTGTTGTATTTGATTTCGTATAAAATAACGTTTAGCACGTTTTGGATGTGTATTTTGTGTTCGATTACGTTTATTTGAAAACCAAGCTTTTACTTGAGATTCTTTAATACCACCATTTGTTGATAAATAATCTAAATCATTACGATTTGGATATGGATTATCTTCATGTGCTAAATACCAAGCATTCATTAAACGAATTGCTTTTTCTGGTAATTGTTTATTAGTTTTGATTGTTGTTGTTGTACGATATATTCTTGTTGTATTATCATTTTCTTGATTGATTGAAACGAATTCATTCTAAAAATACGAGAACGAAGAAAACAAAAACCATTTTTTGTCATTTTGAAATTCGAATATCTCACATTTAATAGTTTCTTATTGAAGGTTTACTCCCGTTTCGGTTTCATTTGATAATCTCTCACTTGGATCCTTTCTTAATTTGGTGGTCCCTTTCCAGTTCGTTCATGATTTCATCAAATTAAAAAAGAAATATGATAGGTCTTCTCTCATTTTCATGAGTAGCCGTTTAAAGAATTCATTCTAGAATAGTCATGGGTTGAGCATTCGGCTTAAACCAGATGATGCATTTATTGAATACAAAAGACGAACAACAAGTAACATACAATTAACAACTAGACATCGTAATATATTATACTTGATTAGAAGGTTTTTCAGGTATACTATTAAACGAGAGTATTAAAACAGCATCGAATAGCGCTGCAGTTTAAGGCCATGTACAATTTCTTGTTGTTCTCAGTGAACACACCGATAGCAGACTGACAGAATTTACGATTAGTAATTCAAAGCAGCAAAACTGTAAAAACAAAGAACTGTTTTTTATTATATATGTTAGTTTCTATGAGTTATAAATTTTGATAACTTTTGTATTTAACTCGTTATTCGTTATCATAGAAGTTATTTTCTACTCTTATGAACCATTGTATTTGATAATATTGGAATCGAACTGAAAAATTATCAAATGGAACCGAATTGAGACAAGATCCAAAAAAATAAAATTCAACTTTTCATTATTTATATTCAATAATCAGTTTTATTCATTTCTTATCCTCAATCTATTTCCTAAACTTCACTACGGATTATATATTATCAGTATTAATATGTTTTTAAAAATGATCTTGATCCATCTCTCTCTCTATCTTACTTCATTTGAAATTTGTTGATCATATTGAGCCGTATAAAACATGATTGAGTTTGTTGAATATATTATTTTCACTAATGAATGAACATCTATTCACATAACAGTATGGTATTATAAACATGATCGAAAAAAAAAAAAAAAAAATTTTTCGATTTATTTTTTTGTCTTTTCTTCTAACGAAATTTGACCAATTGAAATAATTACGAATGTTGACGAAGAGAGAAAATTATTAGCTGCGCACTAGGTAAATTGATATCCGTAATGAACACATCCTACCACCTAGCTTGATATATATTATGTATATAGAACTGATCGAATTTTTCTTTTTTTTTTTGTTTTGCTATGCTAGACAAATTTTAACACGACAATTAAGAAAAGTCTGATAATCATTGTAGGCGTAGTTTATATATTATATGAATAGGTATGTGTGTGAAATACATATTTTATTAAATATGAATAAAGATATAAAAGACAACTGAATTAAATAATGTCTTATATGGAAAAATTTATTTGTTTTATATTAAAAAAAACTAAAATTAACAAGATTAGTTATGATAATGATGATAGGAAGAATGATTTATATGCATTTGAAAAATCTACGATAATTAGTATCAATGAAAAAATTTTTGTATTTTTACTATTACGAACTTTAAAAAAAAAAGTTATGAATTTTATTTACATATAAGCTTACAGATCAGAAGCTAATCATACAAAATAAACTATTTTTCTACTTTTTCTAAATACTCATTTTTGAAAAATTGACGATAAATTTTGTTGAGAAATGTCCGTTCTATTTGAGCACGCTTGGAAAACAAAACTTATACACTAACTATTAAAAATAATCTGTTAGATCTTTCAAAAAGACTCTCATTACTCTTGAATACATATTCAAATTCTAGTAATGATCTAAATTGAAATGAATTTTAAACAGACTAAACTGCATAAATTTCATTACTTTCGAATAAAAGTTAAGATAAAATTTGTAAGTGGACTCATCGAAAATATTTTCTAGCAAATTAGAAGTGAATAAACTTTCTGATTATCATTTAGTTTTTTTTTTCTATATTGAAGAAATGAAGTTTTCATATCTTTGATTAAAATCTAAGTGTTTTACAAAAAAATTGTTTTGAATTCATATTGTATCCATAAGAATGTTTCACTAAAGCTAAAAAAAAAAAAAGAAAAAGACTTTTCCCAAGTGTATTTGAAAATGAGTTGTAATCGTTCCACTGCATTTAAGATTCACTTCTAGATATATATTTATGGAAAAATCAAAGTAATAGAATTTCGATATATAAATTTTGTCTATGAATAGATTTAATGACCTGTAAAATATTCTGAAAAGAATATTGAATTTTCAAACAAATTCGATTTTTACGACATGTCTATGTCAAGCGTCTTTATTTCTTCAAGTTAAATATCTCGATAACGGAATATTCTTTTTAATTGAAATTTTCTACGAATCAATAGATCTATCTATAAAAAAAAAAATCTTTCATCAAAATTTCGATTTTTGTTTATTCAAAAAATGATTATAATTCGTGTTCAAAGTGCGATAAGGACGAAGCATTGTATTAACTTTTGATAATCACAGAAAGAGAGAAAGAGTTATTTTTATGGAAGTAATATGAGCTCAAACAGCAGGTGTCATTTGGTTCGTGCCCTTGTAAAGATTGATGATTAAAAACAAATTTTTCATATAGAGATTGATGACGTCATCTAGTAAAATCTTAAGATTGTTCTTGGGATATTATAGAAGTAAATATTAATCATATATTAATTTCTCTTGAGAAATTAACACGATCAAGTCTACTTGTCAATATTAGGATATTACAACAATATTTATTCAGGTTTCTCTTATGTCGATTTATATTAATTAAATTTTCTCGAAAATATTTTTGTATAATATTTCCATTTTTTGAAAAAATAAATTAACAATTTAAAATTCGAATAAAAGAAAAAACAAATGAATAATTACTACTATAATTATAATCTATTGAAATAAACATATTATATAGAAGATTCGAGATTGTATAATGAAAATATATGTATAATCTATTTTTATATATTTTTTTTCTTTTCTTGCTTATTGATAATTGGAAAATAGAAAAAAGAGAAAACGTCAAAAAAAAACTTCTAGACAAATTATTTTTTTTACATTAACAATTAGTAATGATAACCAAGATAAAGTACATCAATCAATTTGCAATGATTTATCATATGTCTTTAGATTATTTGTTTTTTTTTTTTTTCTTGGTTGTTTTCAATAAAGAAAATAGTTTTGCTGATATTACATAATTTTATTAGCATAAGTTTACTAGATTATTTATTGTTTTTTTTTTATCAATTAAGATAGAAGATATTCGAAAATTATTATAACTTTTCAAGAAATAAGTTTTGTTTAGAAATATTTTTCTTAGTACATATAAATTATTTGTTTTTTTTTTTATTATTATTTGTTAATTTATCGAAATAAAGATTTGTTCTTTTTTAATATTCAAAATTGATAAATTCTGAAATAATCTTTATTTTTCATAGTTAGAAGAGGCAGTCGCTGAAAATGATTCATTATTTTTGAATATATAAAAGAGATTGTTAGACTAGACTAATCTCAAATGGATTCTAAATCATAGGTCATCTTCTTAGAGTTATGATAACTTTTAATCTATAGGATCAAAAATTGATAGAAAAATCAAACAAAAAGATTCTTTTTAACTAGAGTTTAATCTTATCATCTATGAAAATAAATTTTAGATTTGGTTAGAAAAAAAAAGACAAAAGCTTATCAATGTTCAATATTTCAAATGAAAATAAACATTTTCAATGAAACTTATTAGAATAATGAGATCTATTTACAAATAATATATTCCTTATATTCTATTTTTATCTGTCTACCACATCCTATACAAAAGAATACCGCAAAACACTTGTAATTCTATAGAGATAGACTAAAGACTAGAATCCTTTTGAGAGTTATTCTAATCTATAGATTCTCTCTCTATATTCTAAAGCTACATATTTCTTGTTAACGATTCCCTTGTCAGATCAATAATCAAATTGCATATTGAAACAATGAATAAATTCATCTAGTAGTTGAACAATCTATCGATTATAAAAGTATTTTATTTGAATACATAAAAATTTATCTTGTAACTGTTAATTAATTATGTGTTTTTTTTTTCATTAAAATATTTTAGAAATCTTTATAAATATTGCCTCTGATAAGATTAAATATATTTTGTCAAAATAATCAGCAAAAAAAAAACATTTTATATATATATTATATGTCTATGAGTGACAGCTACTAAAGAACTATCATAATATCTTTCAAATGAAATAACTGTTATTTTTAGAGAAATATTATTTTCCTGTCATTGTTTTGTTTTAAATACTGTCCCAAAAAGTTATGGTTATTATTGACAATAAAAGTCAACACAGTGATGTAGAAAAACAGAGAAGAATGAAAGAAAGAACAACAATCAACTATACAAAAAAAAAAAAACAAGAAGAAGAAAAGAAAGCAAAAACATGATTGCCCTTCTTCCATTTTTTTTTTTTGTTCTAATTTATGACAATCTAACATAGATAACATACATATATATATATAGAAAGATGTTGCCTCGTGTTTTTTCTTTTTTTTGTAACCAACAAAAACATACATGCAAACAATATGATGGCATTCAATGTCACTGTTCGTTTAAATGCAGACGGAGACGACTAAAAAGAAGAAGAAGAAGAAAGAAAACAAAAACAAAACGCGCATAGACATACACAACAAAAGACGAAAGAAGGAAAAAAAACTGAAAAGATGAATTAATCACAGTTGAGAGACGGGGAATCGGATGTCGCGCATGCGCATGAGAAAAACCATGTCTAGATTATAAAAAAATATACATATATAGAAACATTTTGATTCAATAGCGGCGATGATATAAATGGGCATCTGACGCCCAAACAAAACAAAACAAAGCAAAAAAAAAAGACGAAGAGGAAAAAAAAATGCTTGAACGACAAAATTTGATATTTGTTTTTTATTTTGATTTGTTTTCTACGCGACAACAAGTGCGTCCACACTGTGGAATGTGTCGTGAAGACAGAAGACAAAATATTTTCCGATTGAACAAAAGAAGAAAAAGAAAAACGTAAAGTAAACCGGGTTAGGCGCTTACATGACATGTATATATATATATCAAGTGTTTGTGCCTTCATTACGTAGTAGTCGCCGGTACATTTGTGAATTAATAAAACGTGGATAGGAGTCACGATGCATTAAAGTATATATTTGTAATTGGGCTTCATCGAATGTATGTGGTGATGGTTCAACCATATTTTTATTGATTACTTCACGTACTCGACTATCTAAACTTACCTAAAATAAATGATATTTTTTTTTGTTTTTTAGATAAACATTCCAAAAAAAGAATAAGCAAATCTTTTTTTTTTTTTTATTCTTATCTTAAAATAGAATTTTTACCTCTTTCGGAGATAATATTGATATATAATCTTCATAGATTAATCGTGCTTTTTCTTCGATTATCTCAGGATTTTGCTCGTTTTTCAACGATTCACAAGACATCCAAAATAGAAAATTTTCTTCACTATATTCTGATCGTAAAAAATCACGAAAATAACGGCGACCAGCTTAAAAATAAAACAATGATGTTTAGTTTTTTTTTTCTTTGATTATTAAAATTATTATATATGTATATACATACCAGGACTAAGCATTAATTTATCAAAGGATTCTGCCCAACTTTTTAATTCTTCAACGGATGGTCTATATATAAATATATATATTTTTTTTCTTTGTTTAAATAAAGAAAAAAAAAAGAACATTGATTAGAAATACATACGGTTCTCCTAGATCAATAGGTTCAGCTGGTGGAGGGGTATCGTCAGTGCGCACGGTTAAACTAAAAAAAAAAAAAAAAAAAAAACAAAAAGAAATAAATGAATAGATTGATAAATATTGAATAATAGATGTATCGAATAAGAAATAAAAAACAGATCTATTGTTTAAGGTTACTTTTTTGTTCCCGTAAGCATTCTTCGAACATTTTCAGGAAAGACAAAAACAAGATGTTCAAGAACACTTTTTCCGATTCTACGATTTTGATTTGTACGCAATTGATTATGACTATGACGATGTTGTTGTTGTTGTTGTTGATGATGATGACGATCATCATCAAATGATGTTGATTTATGTCTAGTTGAAAGATTTTTAGTTGAATTATTTATTTCACTACCAATAGAAATATTTGTACATTCAATATCTGTTGTTTTTAATAAATTTTTATTTGATATTGATATTGTTGATATAGATGATGTTAATGTTGATTTATCATGTACAATATTTATTCCTGATGTTGTTGTTAAACTACTTGATATTGATGATGAACTATTATTATCATTTGATTTATATCGACGATCATTACGAAATAATGTTGTAGGAGAATGAACATTTATATTCATTAAAGCTGATGATGAATGTGATACAGTTAAATTATTTTTTGACATCATGGATTTTTTTGATGCTGATACTGATGATGATGCTGATGATGATGATGATTGTCGATGACAAGTATTATAAGATCGTTGAGATGTATCTGTATCACATGTGACAGATATTGTACTTGATGTAGCAGGTACTGAACGTTGTCTTCGAGTTTTATATGTACCATTAGTTTCTTTTCGAATATTATTATCATTATTATTATTATTATTTATATTACCACTGAGTTTGGCACGCGCCACATGTTCTGGTACAACTTGAGTCATTTGTTTATTGAAAAGTTTTGAATTAGGAGATATTGAAATATGATTTGTTGTTATGTTAAATGATTCTGGATGCCAATAATATGGCCACGAAACTAGACTTGAAAAGTCATGTTGATGTGACAAAAATGATGACGGATACTGTTCGGATTCCATAATCCATCTTTGCCATCAACACAAAAAGAAGATTATTATTAATTCTTCTCTTGTGCTTCGCCTTGTACTTCGTTTTCTCTTCTTTTTTTTTTTTTTTGTTTTTTGTATCTTCAACGACGTTGAAATGAAGACGACAGTAACAGTCAAAGTTTCATCACTATCATCATTCTTACTATACCACCGGCAGAAACAACACAAGCGAGAGTGACATGTTCTTTTTTTTTTTTCTCTCGATTTTTTTTTAGCTTCGCACTACTAACAAGAACATCACATCAAAGACAAGACCGACGAACGAGAGAAGCGTAGGCCTAGTTTTTTTTTTTTCTTCTTTAGCTAACATGATTTAGCTCATAACAACTCTGGAATGATAAAGATGACGGCAAGCCGAGAACGAGAGTCGTTGTTGTTGTCGATGGCATTGAACACTCTTTTTCCTTTTTGTAGATACCCAAAAGCAAAACACCGGCAATGCAAGTCGAGAAAAAGAGAAAAGAGGAAAAACAGAAAGTATAGATATGTCTCTAATCGGATTAGGAGTGGGTAAAAAAAAAATAGAAGACGAAGAAAGAACGAGAAAAGACAGGGAAGAAACGTTTCGTTTTCTCTTGTCAAAGTGATAGTTTCATGAGAAGACGAAGAAGAAGAAAAGAAGCAATCTCAGTACTAAAAAAGGAAGTGATATGTAGTACACATATATATATAAATATATACACATAACATGCAAGCAACAGTTTTGTTATCGAATTATTGAACATAGCAGCGAACTACTTTTACATCGTTTCTTTTAGTAGAAATGCAATTAGAGTTTATATTCTATCGTCAAGAGTGCATCTGTTGTCGAAATATATGTATCTATTTGTTGTTTGACTTTCAATAGAAATAAGAAGAAGACGAAGAAGAAGAAAAAAAAAAAAAGAAAAGTCGATCGACAACAACGATGAAAGTAAACTGACTAAATTAGAATAGAACCTATTATTCTTGTCTTTCCGAAACGGAAATCATATTTGCCAAACGTGAGTCTCCTCGTTTGTTTTTTTCATTCGCACATCCATAAGAAGAGCAGCATCACAGGAAAAAAACATACACACAGAAAAAAATTGATGAGAAAAATAAAAAAAAACACTAAGAAGTTAATAATCAAAATATCAAACATACTTTGGATGACGTCGTATGGAACCGAATGGGTTAAATTTGAAATGTTTAATCATAATTTTTTTCGCATGCACACGCGCGCTAATATAAACGCGCAAATTCACCTGGAGGACTGAAGAGGAGTAGGGGACCAATTTTTTTGTATAGATGAATGTGATGCTGCTGTCTGTTAACGTGCGATGATGAGGAGACCGACGTCTAAAGCAAGATAGATAGAGAAGAAAAATACTACGATTATACACACACACATACAGACAGACAGACAGGTCAACTAACGACTCAAGAAAACAAAAACAAAAAAGACAAAGCAAATCGTACATAACAAAAGAATCGGAAAAGGAAAAATAAAATCAAGAAGAGTGAACTAAACTAATTTTCTGCGCAATATAAAAATAGAAATTATAAATATATGTTAACTACATACCACGAACAGGAACAACAGCAACACCAACAAAAACAACAGGCTTTTGAGGCTTGATCACTATGTGAAGGAGATGAATTCAATGGTTCTTGTTGATTGGAAGGTATATTTGAAGGTGTTGGTTGTTGACGGCGTGATCGATTACTTTCGTAAATTGATGAGTTTTCTTGATTTGAATGACGTGAGCTCATAATCTATGAAAAAAAAAGAAAGAGTTTCTTGTTTAGTTAATTCTTCTTCTTCTTGTTTTTTTTTTATCTTACTTTACGGAAACAATACTTATGCACTTCTTCAACTTGACCAACAAAACCCTCTGTAAATCGAAAAAGAATATCGGCAACTGAAAAAATCAGCACCGAACAGGAGGGTATTGTAGACGAAGTAGAAGGAAAATAGCGATGATGTTGTTCAACGACTACTGTTGTTGGTGATGAACTATTTGACAATAATGTTGATGCTATAGTTTTTTTCCTAAATATATAAATATCAATTAACATTATACAATCATATTAACTAAAAGAAAAAAAAAAGAAACACATTATCGTATATTAAGCGTAAGAAAAATAATAACTCAACGCATACTCTAATCGTTTTTCTTTTGAATATATAGTCTAAGAAGAGTGATCAACATTACTATTATAGAACTCATATTCTTTATTTCTATTTTTATATTCTTTAACCAATACTAGAAACGAAGATCTATACATGATCTCTTTTCAAATGAAAATAGTCACTTATACGTAAATATTTATATAAAAAACATTAAAAAAAAAAGGAACAATGTTTTTTTGTCTTTAATTGAATAATTTCGTTTTTGTTTTTTCTTAATTATAAGTCGTATTAAATTATTCTTTGTTGTCCTCGATCAAGAAATAGAAATTGTTTTGTTTTTACACATTACTGCATAAGATATGACATGTAAATTTACTTTACAGAAACTTCTCTACATAGACATAGTATGAAATTTCAGACAAATATAATTGTTCGATGTATAACTTTGAATTAAGAAATTTCTTTTTCCATTTGTCAAAAGAAAAGAACATAATTAAAAATAAAAAATATATATTTCATACCTATTGGGAGAAGATTTCAATGTTCGTGTCGTCTCTTTGTAAAACACGAACATAATGCGATAGTCGCGTTCGTGTTTTGTTAGCGTTCATTGAGGCGTCTATATAAATAAGATAAGTAAAAACAAAAACAAAAACAAAAGAAGTTTGGTCAAAATAACAAAAAATTCTACAATACGAAAAGTTTCTCTCGCTTTCCAGATCTACTTTGTCATACTAAATACTAGTGTCTCATCATCAATAAAAAAGAGAAAAAGACGAAGAAATCGATGGTTTAGGCTATGCATTTACGTGCTGTTTTCTTGTTGTGGCTTCTACTTCGTCGTCTCTTCTTTCTCTCTCTCTCTCTCTTGTTATGACATCATCATTGCCATTATGATGACTTACCATGCAGCGAAAGAAAGGAAGAAAGATACGAGTAATGATACAGGTTGGTCTTGAATTTGAATAATTGAAAGCAGTGTTTTATCTATTGGTTTATATATGTATATGTTGGTATGTGTCTATGTATCGTGTGAAAACAATTGTCGAGAATAACTGATCATGATCTACAAAAAACAAAGATAACACAATATGAATGCATGTTCAATCAATATTTTATTCTTTCGTGATAAAATTCTTTTGATTTATATTACCTATAAGTTTGTAGGAAACCAAACTAGTTAGTAAGGAAGCTCTTAACACTATCCTCCACTATTTTTGTATGGAAGCATTAGAAATAGTTATGAAGAGAACAAACAGATAGACAGACAGACAGACAGACACACGCATACACATGTAGACAAGAGAATATGAGGTTAGAGAGAAAGAAAAAAAAGATGAGATGATGATGAGGATGTGTTCGAACATTACTTTATTCCATTACGAAAATCCTAACAATTATTTCAACTAATAGAAGTAGATATGAATGGCATATGACCTCGTACATCACTCAGAAAAAAAAATATGACAATCATCGTTATCATATTAACATCAAATGAATGAACAAACAAATCACTATAAACTAAATAATCAACTAGTTCAATCTAAACGAACAAAATAAAAAGAAAAATATTGTCGATCGTTTAAACTCATAGGAATTTTATCGTCTTTTTTTAGATCTGACATCAAATAGTATAGAAATAACAAAGAGAGACATACAAAAAAAAAAGAATAATTTAGGTTAATTCTTTCTTTTATAGATATAAGAATTATCTGTGCGTGTGCGTGTGTATGTCTAAAGCAATACATATAGATTCTATTAAATATATATAGCTCTGTTAATTTGGCATTGGTGACATTTGCCAGTTGCTGAATAAGATTACTTGTTTGACTGGTTGTGTTGTTACTTTAGAACTGAACTAATCAATCTATCTCTTTAATATAAATGAATAAATGAAAGTTAACCTAACTAATATAGTTTTAGATATTTTGCTTAGTTTATTGCTCATTAGTGTATGATATAAATATATTCATAATAAACTTATTTTACCTTACTTACTTTAACAATGTTCATCATTTTTTTTTCTCATCAGACAAATGGGTAAGCAGGCGAATATTAGAAAAGGAAGAGAGAGAGAGAGAGAGAAAAGGGAGGGAAAAAAACTAAAGAGTAATTAGTAGAGAGGAGAAACTTCGTTTCTTTTGTTGTCTTCTCTTATTCTTCTTTATTTTTTCTCTTTGTTCTTTCTCTAGTTTTTCAATCAGACAAAACACTTAAATGCAAAGAGTGTGATTCCACCTGCTAGAAAATAAAAGGAAAGACAAAGAGCTAACTCTAGTTGGGTAACGATAAAGACCGGCACATACACACACACACACACACATACATTCGTCTGACATTGGCTCATATGAATAAAAGATGCTGACTGTAATTGTTACAAACAAGTAAAAGAAATATCAGTAAAGAAACAAAAATATATGAAGAAAAAGGAGAAGCAGAAGATGCTATACATATATTGAATTAGACAAGGTAGACTTTATGTCGAACATCATCATCTCAAGTTTCCATAGTCAGTAGATGTAACATGCAAACTAAAAATAACGATCGTGACGACAAGAAAAGAAACAAAAAAAAAAAGAAACAGAAAAGTCTATTGCGTGTATGTTGATTATAGAGCAAGATACAATTGACAAGAAACCAAGAAGAGAACCCATTTCTTTTTTCTTCATTTATCGTTAAATAGTTGCCATTTAAAATGAACTTACTTTAGTTCCTTCCCGTAATTTTCTATTCCTAAATCAACATAGAGACAAATATACATACCCACATGGTATTGATAGTGGTGGTGCACAAGATGGCAGCGAAGTCTGATGATGGTGATATAGCAAAACGGAAAGGAAAGAAAAAAAAACGAGAAGAAAATGCGTGGCAATTCTACTATTATTCGTTAGTACTCTTTCCTCATCAATTTCTAGCTGCTGTTGTTGTTATTGTTTATGATTTTGGCAAGCATCTTGCCTCTTCTTCTATTTTCTCCTCTTTTTTTCTGATTGTATGTGTTAGAGGAGGGAGTGGAAGTCTTCTTCTTCTTCCCCGTCCCTACATCTATCCATCTATCGTCGGCATCGTTCTTCTTCTTCTTCTTTTTTTCTTCTTTTCTTTTGTGTTGTACACAATGAAAATTGACACGAGAAATTAGAAATGACGGAGAGATGATGAAAATGACGACGACACTGCTTCTTTTCTTATTTTTCTGCACGGTTTCTTTTTCTTTTTGCTTGGTGTGCGGGAAAACGCATCAATATAGTTTGTCAGTAGAACGAGTTTTGGATCGACAGTAATAAAGAACACACACACACACACACAAAGAAAAAGTGCTAAAGAGAGAAGACATAGAAAGAAAAAGACAGAACACGAATCGACTGACGTTGCCTTGTCATTTTGAATAAAAATGTGAGAAGTAAACAAGGTCCATAGCTCAATTTGTCTCTCTATTCTTTTTCTTTTCCGATTCTCAACCGCTAAGCTGAAAAAAAAACGCCAACCACATTGAGATGTTGTTCTCCGTCACATCCTTTCTTTCATTTAAAGGTTTAGCACGATAGCGAACTATCGCCGGTCGAGATGCCAATGGGAGATGGAAAGCGCACAAGAGAGATGTTGTAATCTGTTATTAGTTTTCCTTTTCATTTCCGTTCTGGCACGCGCACATATAAAGTCCAGCTGTGTTCTATACAACGAACAAACAATAGAGAAAAAAATATATATAGTCAATAATGTTATAGAGTGCAGTAGATTATAAAAGCAAAATAAAAAAATATCATTCATGTGTTGTTGATGAAACAATTGATTGGTTCCATATAAAATCTGCTTTACGCATTGGTTTTCGTCGTTGTTGAACATTAGTTGATGATGATGTATTTCGAGATGATGGTGGTTTAGGTGTAACAGATGGACGATATTCTTTTAATGCCGATAAAGATAATGGTGGAAAAGCTAGAATAAATAAATTTTCAATAGATTATTAAATTGATAGAAATTGAATATTTTACTTTCACGATGTATAGCTGATGCATATAATTCTGATGGTTGACCTTGTATAGTAGAAGTTTCTGTACTAAATAATGATTCAATATGTCTTTCGGTTAATGGTTCTTTGAAAAATAAATGACGATTAGGTTTTCGATAATATAATTCATTATGTTCATCGTAATCTTTTAAAAATCTAACATGATATTTTTTTTCCTTATGTTCAAGATGAATCGATTTAGAACGAGATAGATTTGGTTTATTATTGAAAAATTCATCTTCATCTTGGATAGGATTTCTTGGAGTATTCTTCAAAAAGTAAATGAATAAATTCGGAAATAATAAAAAGAAAAAACTAATTCATACATGTAATGTTTCTGAAAAATATTTTTGTAGACTTGGATCATCATTTAATTGCTGTAAACTATTACTGTAACGAGATGATTTTAATAGATTTGCTTTTTGTTCATTAAGTTTTGATGAACGAAATAATAACAGAGACTAAATTAAACAAAAAAAAAAGAAAATGCCATGATGCCCTTTTATATTTTTAAACATGTTTCATAAGAACAAATCTCTTGTTGATGTCCTTTTTTTCTTTTTTTTGAGCTGATTATTCGCTTGAGAGATTTCCCTAAGCTATTTTAATCTTTCTATTGATTAAGATAAGATCTTTCATTTTTTTTTTCTTTTAATTTTAATTAATATTTACTGTTTTTAGATTATGTACCTGTTGAGGATTTATTAAAACATCATTAGCCATATCTAAATAACGTTTAGCAGAGTCTATATCTGAACTATTTCGTACATATTGTTCAAGTTCATAACGTGGATATTGTTGAGCAATTTGATTACGAACAAATGATTGATATGAAGCCTATATATATATAAATACATACATATATATATATGAATATGAAATAATATTTTTAACCAAAACTAAGCGTGCATATAATGTAAAACGGATAAGCATTATATATAAACAAGCATACTTCAAGATCGGCACGTGATAACGATTGCGTTGTGGTCTTATAATGTACCAACGAACGCAATCGTTGAAAATGTTCGTTTTGTTGATTATAATTGACTGCAATAATGGAACATAAGGTTGGAATAGAAAAGGATACAAAGACCAACAAAAAAAATAAAATCATTCAGCGGAAATAGAACAAGACAATTATATACAAAAACAATTAGACGGACCTTTGCCGTCGTGTAGATGATTATTCGTGGGGGTCTATATTTAAATGCTTCACCCTCTAAATAAAGAGACATATACACACACACTCACACATATTAAATTTAAAACTTATACTCTTATATATATATATATAAATTTCAAATTATTAACTATGTATATTATGATTTCTATTGAATTAATAATAATTTTATTAGAAATATAACTATATTTTTTACAATTTATTAATTTTAATAAATTATAGAAAATAATAAAAATATTTTTTCTTAATATCTTATTGCCTCTAGCATATATTCTTATTTTCATTCATGCAGAATTCAATATACCCCTGATTTCTTTTTCTTTTTTTTGTCTAAAACTTTTTTGTATCATGCAAACTTCATTTCATATGAATTCAACGGTATCAAATGGATTATAAAGTTTTTAAATAACATGCATAGTTATCTATATTCTATCAACAATAACAGATTCGAAGAAATAGTTGAGGATAATAACAAATAGACATTTAGGTTTTTCTCTAAAAGGCAAAATACATGTATTAGTGGAATTTTACAAATATTGCACAACTACTCAAAGAAGAATACGTACAAGTTTTTAACGTATTTATTTGCTTGAAATTTAACATCAGAAAATAATTTGTTTACAATTCTATTCTAAGACTTTGTAGTTTAGATGATTTCTTCTCTTCAGATTGGTCATTGATCGCCATTTCATATTTATATGTATATATAAGAGTATTAAAAACCTTTACACAACTCTAATTTACGATTCTACATACTTCTTTACTTAAATCATATTTTGTATTCACACATATAGTACTCTATGATTTATTAATCACATGCTAATAGTGAGATGAATATGATTCAAGTAAAGAAGTTCTAAAAATTGTCACTAAAATGATTTTCTTTTTTATTATTTTATTCTATGTACATACGACGTCTTAATTCTTCAAGTGATAATTGTTGACGATTTTCATTTGTTTTTGGACATACATAATCATAAGCTGTTTCCGGATCAAATATATTTGATAATTTTTCTAATAGATTTTGTTTTTCTTTAGATAATTCATCCTAAGTTATAAAAATAAATAGTTCGTTTTTTTTCCTTTGTTTCTTTTATTAATAGAATATCTATTTTGCTCACTGCAATTTCAGCACTATCATTACTATTCGACATGTTTGTTGAATACATTGAAGTTTAAAATTAAATGCATATAAATGTAGTATAATTATTCGAATTTGTCAGTTTCTATAGAAACTTAATAATTGTACTTAAAAAAAAAAAATTTTGATTATTATATTATAAGAAAAAAAAAAATAATTAAAAATTCATATTCCATATTTAAAAGGAATAGAAATTTATTTTAATATTTTATACAGTGACATCTTTTGTTTAATTTCAAAATAAAAAAACAAGAGACCGCGAACAGAAATAAAATATATCTCATTCAATTTTTATTATATTAAATTTATAATATTTGAAAACAAAAGAATATTGTTCTACTAAGTAATAAAATATCACAATCAGTATGTACCATCATATTATATCTTGAAAAATGAATAAAGATTTTGAAAAATTTAACACCGGCACTAGAATGAAAGAGACATAGATCTTATCTCAATAGCGGCAACTGTTATTTGAAAACTCCTGTAAATTTAATTTTGACATCTCAAATGTTAAGCAAAGAAAATCTTAGGAAGATGATAAGTTTTTTGATAGTCCAATTATTGAGATTACATTGTAGTTCTGGTGCGAATATTAGTTTTAATAGAAAAAAATTCAAATATATTTTAAAAATCTTACAAACTAATTCAATTGATAAATTTTTCTTTTCCCTTCGAAAGTCTTTCAAGTAATGCATAACGAAGAGCGTCATTTACATTATTATGATCATGACATTTTTAACAAACAGGTGATGAATAGAGATAGAGAGGACAATGTTCGGTGCATAATTCCATTTAAAAAAGTACTTACAACTTCATTTCTATATGATTAAAAATGTTATACACGATGAAATTTTTTTATTTTAGAATAAGCAAACTTGAACAATCATTCTTAATTTTGTTTTTTTTTTAGTATCATAGAAGATTAATTCAGATTTGAATGAAAATATCGAATACATTTGTTTAATATAGATTGTTTATTAAGAAGAAAATAATTGTAGAGATCAACTATGAAAATTTCGAATTTCTTGCTTTAGGATGAACATATAGTAGTTTCTGTTTTAAAATATTGATGAAATAAATTATTTGATTGTGATTTCTGAATACAATGAATGTTTATTTATTTTTTTTTAAGGTAATATTAGTCAATTATGAAGGTTTAATGTTCACACTCAAAATATAAATATACATAAAGTTATTTTCTGATAAAGATGTACGTTTAGCATTCAAGGTTTAACATATCATATAGAATTTCTTGTCCTGTCATATAACATTAGATGAATAAATAAATATTGAAACATTATGATATTCTGAGTAAAACAAAGAAACACATTGAAGCAATAGTATCCGATAAAGATTTATTTATTTATGTATCAATTCTTTTGTTTTTTTTTGTTCCGATTATTTTATTTAATCTTATCTAAAATAAACAATCCCAGACAAAAAAAAAACAACAATCTGACATGAAAATATTAATGTTCGTAATATCAAAGATTTACAATAGAAAAACATTATACTTTAATGTAATTATAAATAATATCTATTCATTTGTTATTCATCTAGAATAAGATTCAATAATCATATAGAAATTTTGTAAATTAATTGACAATCGATATAGACCGAGGACAATTCAAATTCGTGAACTTGGATCAAATAAACCATCGAACAAAAATTGCATTTGCCTACTTTTATTTAAATATAGTATATATTATTTTTAATTCTAATGATGAAGATACTTCAAAATGAGATTATTAACAATAGTGACAAGAATAATCCGAAAAGAAATGATTTTAACGGCATAAAAATTCAAGATAGAAGCAGAAAAATTGCTATTTTAAAATTAGAATTAATCATACTATAATGTATATTCATAAACACACTGCTTGTTGCGTATTAACACCCACCCCATAGAAGACTTTCAACAAATCGTTTATCTTGTGTAATATAGATAAGTAAAAATGACGATCTATCTCGAATATTGGTTGTTATCAGTGTCTTTTATTTTAACATTAGATAATAAATAACTACACTAATCATAAATGATGATTTACTGTATTTAATGGTTATAAATTATCGTTCTTCTCGATTAAGTAATAATTCATGACGTAATAGAAAATAATAAACTATTAATAGATTAATACTTCAGCAACATTCTCATATACATATGACAATGGTTAAACCATTGTTTCGTCATGAGTTAATAATAATAGGATAGAAAAAAATAATGGAAATTTAAAATTTTTCTATGATTTAATTGTAACTGATAAAATTGAAATAATTTATCGATTGAGAAATTTTCAATAGAATTTATTTAGTATTAAATTCATTTTATTATAAAGAAATAAAAAGATATGACGTTTTATTACAAGTGAATTATTAGAAATTATACTAAATTTTATAACTTTTCAGATAAAGTTTTTAAGTTTTGAATTAATATTCATCTTAAATCAAATTATGAAATAGTTTTAATATTCATTTGTTTTTCTATTAGTTGAAATTATCTTGAGTGTCGATTTTTATATAACTTTACTAGAAACTAATTATCAAAGAGTAGAAACTTATGAGTCTATATTTTGTAAAGTTAAACAACAATATTATATTCTAATATTAAATACAATTTTGTCGATTACACAACTTCAAAATATTTTTTTTTTTGTTTATCTGTTAAAAAGTATTTCTGATTGTGGAAATTAATCCATTATATAAAGACATCATGATATTTAATTGTTTTGTGATGAACATCAAAATAGATAGAAGTCAATTACAGTTCATACAATTGGATAAGTTGAATTAACATATAATGAATCGCTAATCGCAGCGCATATATTAAGAGTGATATACTAAATTTTACACTATTTTGACAAGCCTAATTTTAACCCTTCGAATTTTGTGATCTTTCATAATAAATATTTTATTCTTCTTTTTGCTAATTTTCTATTACTAGTGTTAATTCAATTTCTCATAAAGGATGAATTTTTTTTGTCATCAATACTTAACTCCTGACATCTAGAATAGAGAAGAAAAAAAAAAACTTCTAACGCGAGTTGTTACATATTTTTTGACACATGACCAATAGAAAAATATTCGTTTTTTATTACTTGCTTGTCTGACACTCACGTGTGTTAAATTAATATAGATTAATTCGCTTAAATAGACTTCATCTTCTTTATTATATTCAAATATCAATGAACGAAGACGAACAATCTCATGAACAAAATGTATAAATTTTAAAAATAAATTTATTAAATATTAATAGATTAAATATTATTTTTTTTAATTTAGATATCAAAAAATTTACCAACAACATTACAAAATCCGTCGCTAGTTGTCAATTCTATGTTGACAGCATTAGCTCAAAGTTTACTTCCATCATCAACAAATCAACAAGTAAAAACTTTAAAAAAACCAAACAAACAAACAAATTATTCTTCTATTTTTCTTTTAGCAATTCTTAGCTGATTTACAAGCAGCAGCAACATTAGTTAATAAACAAAAATTATCATCAACAAATGATAATAATCAATATGAATCAAATTCTCATATAAAATTAAATCGTACAGATAATCAAGATAATTTACCACATATAACACAAGCAAAAAGACGTGCAACACATAATGCTGTTGAACGACGACGTCGTGATCGTATTAATCAACATATACAACAATTATCAAAATTAATTCCTGATTGTAGTAATTATGTAAAAAATCAAGTAAATTTGTTTTTTTTTTTTTGTTTTTGATTTTCAAAAAAAAAAGAAAAATATTTATTTTTCATAGAGTAAAACTGTTGTATTAGAAAAAACAATTGCATATTTACATGAACTTCGTACACAAAATTTGGCATTAGTTAAACAAACAGTTGATGCTGGAATAATACTACATGAAAATGATTTATTAAGAGATCGAGTTTGTTTAAATATTAAAAAAAAATATAATTATTAGTTTTTTTTTTTTTTTGTTTTCTTTTAAAGATTCGAGTTGTTGAACAAGAAAATGGAGTATTAAAATCTTTATTAACAAAACAAAGTCTATTAAATGGGAATGAAACAACATTAACATGAATATATATATATATGATTTCTTTTATTTAATGTGTGCAACAGTTAGATATATATGCAAACTGTACAGATTGATCTTCTCTTCTTCTTTTAGTATTTACTTTTCTATCCTCTTCTATGAGTCCCACCTTTGTTTTTGTATATATATATATATTTCCTTTATGATTTTCTTTTTGCTTGATTATCGACCATATTTTGTGTTTTCTTTTTCCATTCGATGTCAACAGTAAAAAAAAAAAACAATATATAATTGTTTGGAAATTATAAATGATAAAATTTGTTTATTGAGAATCATTAAGTCAATATAAAGTTAGAATAAAAATATTGTATTTATCAATCGTAGATCAATATAACAAAATTTTAGAAATTATTAATCTTTAATTGTTCCTTTTTCTTTTTTTTTTCTTTGTTGGATCGACGTGAATTTATTAGTATTCAAAGTTTATTGAATAAATATTTTCAGTTCAATGTAAATTAATTATTAATCATATGAGGAAAAGTTCTCAAGTGATGAATCGCTTCTAAACTGGAACTGTATTTAATCAATACGATCTAGTGAACAAGTTAATATTCTAGAATGATTCAAGCAGTTATACCTTTGTTGCTGACGAGAAAAATACCAATTGCTTTTTCCTTGAAACACACATGACTGTATGCAGTCTACTGCACTGATTCCGAACATCAGGATCTTAGCAATCCATATGTCTTTCTAGATTCTGTGTCATAACTATCAACCCTCTTTTGACATAGAATCTAGAAAGATATATGGACTGCTAAGACTCTAGTATTCGGAATTTAGATGAAGTAATCATGCGATTATGAAAAAATACGAGCAAGCGAACGCTGATTATGACATAAATAAATAGATGGCTAATGAAATCTTTGTTTTTGTAGTTTTGATTTCAAATTTTTGATAATTCTTTTTAAATAATGCTTTTATTGAAATAAGAAAAAGTGAGTTTGCATTGTTA